CACAGCCGGGTCTCAGACCAGTCTTCCTAAACTGGCAAGAAAACATTACAAAAATCAAATAGAAAACTAAAAGTACAGTAAGTGTGCATGGAACATAAATAGAAGCTACAGAAAGATTTACTTGTCATGTAATATGTTCATGAGACAGTCAAAGAAGGACAGTAAATCATTCCAGAGTGCAAAATATTGAACAAGCTTCCATTTTACACTACTTAGACAGTAAAGCAGCACCTCCTCAGGGGGTTGTGGTGCTCTGTGCTAGTTTTACTTCAGTGCTCTCTCTCATTTCATTTTTTATATTAAGTTAATTTAGTTAAAATAACAAATGTTTGTGTATACAGTGGAACCTCTACTTGCGAGTTTAATCCATTTCATGACCTTGCTCGCAACTGGATTTGCTCGTTTTCAGAGTCAATTTTCCTCATTTAACCCTTTCATTGTCCGTCCCGCAGATCTATGGCTTTACGTTCAGAGTCCAAACCGTAGATCTACACCATGAGCTCAGCTCACTCTGATAAACTGTGAGTGGTAAATTTGGGCCTAGATATGAGAGAATACATCTATGTGGTATGTGTGCACCACATAAAACAAATCCTGCAGCACACTGTGTAGTATAATGAGAGAAAAAAACTGAGACCATGATTTTCGATTAAAACAGCGACTTTGCAGTGTTTTTTCGTATGTTTTTTATAGTTGTATTTGCGATTTCTTGGTCTCATTTGATAGAATGGAAGACATATTACAGAAATAGAGATGATTTTGATTGGTTTTAGCACTGGAAATGGCTTGAAACTGAGCTCAAAGTAGCGGAAATGTTAATTTTTTGCCGATGTTCAAGAGTAAACAAACGACCTATCACGTCTAATACACACCAGCTGGTGGGTCTAATATACATTCGCAAATATGGTGATGATATTTATACTACTCATGAATGTACCCTTACCTCACCTATGGTATACTGTATGTGCATGGGGATATATGACAGCAAACAATGTAATTTAAAACCAGTCATAATCCACCAAAAATCTTATCTCTGAACAGTCGCTCAGTCAGATACCTGGACAGTCGTCCAGAATGAACTGAAACATAATGAGTTTCCTCTCCTAAGTGGGTCATTTGTGAACTGATTCTAGACAACACAACTCTCACCCCCCCCTCGTACCCCAGTCATCTTACTGTACAAGTGTACTACACAAGTAACACTGCGGACATTCCCACTTACTCAAAGATTTGAAGCTATTTAACTTTCATAGTATCCACACATACTATGTAGACATTTACAGAACACTCAATTAACCCTGAGCTAAAAAAAGAACTTGTTGGAGAACTGAAACAAGTCACATAGTCATAACACTATAAATATCTCTTTAATATAACTCAAGAAATCGTAGTGACACGATTGCATACAAACCATAACACGGACGGGGATAGAACCCGCGATCAGAGAGTCACAAAACTCCAGACCGTCGCATTAGCCACTGGACCAGCTAGCCACAATAAGATTCGTCCAATTAGGTATACAGTGGTCCCTCGCTTTTCGTAGTTCTCGGCAATCGTAAATTTTGCCAATCATAGGGGTATTTTCGTATAAACATGGACTCGCTTTTCATAAGTTGACTCGCGAGTCGTAGTTCGTCCGGGACGCGTACCCACGGCGTGAGCCGTGGCAGCAGCCAGTCTGGCATTGTTTACCAGTGAGCGAAGGTCCCCTCACGTGCTCCAGCGAAATATTTCATAATATTCCATTTATTTTAGTGCTTGCAAGTACTAAATAAGCTACCATGGCTCTAAAGAAAGCTCCTAGTGCCAAGCCTGTGGTAAAAAAGGTGAGAAATACGATTGAATTTAAGAAAACCATCATTGAACAATATGAAAGTGGCCAGGATGTATAAGAAACCCTACACAACCTTATGTTCCATAGTGGCCAAGAAAAAGGAAATCAAGGACGCTGTTGTTGCTATGCTGACAAAAATGAGATCACCAGTACTCGAAGAGGTTGAAAAGTTATTATTGGTGTGGATAAATGAGAAACAATTAGCAGGAGATACTCTTATGACTTCGATTATTTGTGAAAAGGCTAGGCAGTTGCATGACGATTTGGTAAAGAAATTGCCTGCAACTAGTGGTGATGTGAGTGAATTTAAGGCCAGCAAAGGCTGGTTTGAGAGATTTAAGAACCGTACTGGCATACACAGTGTGGTAAGGCATGGTAAGGCTGCCAGTTCAGACCACAAGGCGGCTGAAAAATATGTGCATGAATTCCAGGAGTACATAGATGCTGAAGGACTGAAACCTGAACGAGCGTTCAATTGTGACGAAACAGGCCTCTTTTGGAAGAAAATGCCAAAGAGGACCTTCATTACACAAGAGGAAAAGGCAAATGCCAGGACACCAAGCTATGAAAGACAGGCTGACGCTAATGTTCTGTGCTAATGCTAGTGAGGACTTCAAAGTGAAGCCATTACTAGTGTACCATTCTGAAAATCCCAGAGTGTTCAGGAAAAACAATGTTATGAAGAGTAAATTGTGTGTGTTTTGGAAATCTAATAGTAAGGCATGGGTCACGAGGGAAATTTTCGTCGAGTGGTTCAATGAAGTGTTTGGCCCTAGTGTGAAGGAGTATCTCTTGGAAAAGAAATTGGATCTCAAGTGCCTGCTAGTAATGGACAATGCACCTGCTCATCCTCCAAACTTGGATGACCTAATTTTCGAGGAGTTTGGGTTCATCACAGTAAAGTTCTTGCTCCCGAATACCACTCCTCTCCTCCAGCCCATGGACCAGCAGGTCATTGCAAACTTTAAAAAACTCTACACAAAAGCAATGTTTCACAGGTGCTTGACTGTGACCACAGACACTCACTTGACCCTAAGGGAATTTTGGAGAGAACACTTCAGCATCCTCCATTGCATAACCCTTATAGGTATGGCTTGGGAGGGAGTGACTACCAGGACTTTGAACTCTGCTTGGAGAAAATTGTGGCCAGATTGTGTCGACAAGAGGGATTTTGAAGGGGTTGGGACTGACCCTGATGAGCTTTTGTCTGTTGTAAAATCAATTGTGGCACTGGGGAGTTCCATGGGGTTGGATGTGAGTTTGGAGGATGTGGAAGAATTGGTGGAAGACCACAATGAAGAGCTCACTACTGAGGAGCTGCAAGAGCTTCAGCAGGAAGAGCAACAGATCGCAGCTCAGAATCTTGCTGCAGAGGAGGAGGAAGAGAGATGGAAGAAGGTGCCTTCTTCAGAAATTTAAGAGATTTTTACTATGTGGGGTAAGATGGAAAGCTTTATGGAGAAACATCACCCTAACAAGGTTGTTGCAAGCCATGTTGGCAACATGTACAGTGACAAAGTCTTGGGCCATTTTAGGGAAGTGTTAAAGAGACGCCAGAAATTGAGCTCTCTCCACAGTTATTTTGCGAGACAGGACTCTAGTGACTCTCAAGGTGGTCCTAGTGGCATTAAGAAACAGAGAAGACAAGCAACCCCAGAAAAGCAATTGGTACCTGAGGTGTTGCTGGAAGGGGATTCCCCTTCCAAACTATAAACAATCCACTCTCTCTCCTCCTCCAGTCTCCTATACACTAAGAAGAATCTCCAATAAAGGTAAGTGTTATGCTGTTAATGTTTCATTCATCATTTCCCATTGTATTGTTTATGTACTACATGTATATTTCATGTAAAAAAATTTTTTCTTTTAATACTTCTGGGTGTCAGGAATGGATTAATTGTATTTACATTATTACTTATGGGGAAAATAGATTCGCAAATCGTAAATTTCGTTTATAGTAGCTCCTCCAGGAACGGATTAATTACGAAAAACGAGGGACCACTGTATTTCTACACCATAGGAAGGTTAGCATAGGCACCACTTTGACCACAAATGCAAGTTTTTACAGACGAATCTCCAGCTAGCGTGGCCGTGACGAACTCTAGCTCAAGTCCCCTCAAAGCCGTCAACATGCATTTGTAGTCACAGTGGTGCCTATGCTAACCTTCCTATGGTGTAGAAATATACCTAGTTAGACGAATCTTATTGTGGCTAGCTGGTCCAGTGTAACGTGATGGTCTGGAGTTTTGAGACTCTGATCGTGGGTTCTATCCCCGCCCGTGGTATGATCTCTTTGATATTCCATGTGTATGGCTCAACCTGAATAAATGCTCCAAGTAAATCAAAGAACTCAGAGTTTGGAGCAACTTACTGGAGAATCATAGCTGTCTCTCAACAGTTTCAAAAACATTGTCTGAAAGCATCTCTGGAACTTTAATATTTAATATGTAACTGTCATACACATTTACTGTACTTCTGTTTGTCATTTATATCTTATGCTGCTTGCTTATTCATTTCATGTGCAGAAATTACATAAATACTTGTAATAATAAGTAGTTTGTAAGCACGAAAGGGTGTAATCCAAGAGGTCAGTAGACATCCTGTAATTCTTAAAACAAAGTTTGATTTGATTTTTTTTTTTTTTTTAACAAACCAACTGCCTCCTATTGAGGTGTGATGACTCAAAAAAAGGAAACATGTTCACAATCATTAATCCAGTTTTTGTCTGATATCACTGTTCTGGTATCACTGCAACATCCTCGCCCCTCCTTTAGGTGCTGTAATTGTCACCAGTTTCTCTGAATTCCTTCATAAATGTGTTGTTCACTCACTCTCACAAGCCTTTTCAAGCTCATAGTACTCCAGACTTCCTTTACTCCCTCCCTTCAACCATTCCTGTGATAACTCTTACCCATCCATTCTTATATACCCCTTTATAGATTTGATTTATCTGAAAAAAAAAATGCTTTGCATCATTTTTTTTTAGATGTATATACTCTTTTTCCTGTGAATTTGTTTTATATGTTTCCTATGTCTTTTCTGTATGCCATTATTTGTTTAACATTTTAGTTCATAAACATACAGTATTACTGACAGTCATATTTAGCCAAATAAATGATCAAATTTGTTTAAACCATGTTGCTGTTAACATAAGAATTTTTTTTGGCAGTTGCACGGAATGGATGCATCAGTAAGTGCTGTTACATATAAAATAATTTTTTGTAGATTATGTTATTTAAATAAATTAAATAGCATTATTTTAATAGTGCAGTATAGTAGTAATATTGAACAGCATTGTAGTACAGTAGTATTAAACTTTTATTTTAGACTTGTATGTACTTATGTTGTTCAAAGATGCATTTGTTTTACATGAACCAAGATATTTATATATGTTGTAATCTGGGCATTGAACTCAGAATCAAACTTTCCATTCATCAAAAAATACAGTACTGTACAAAATCAAGGTAATTATATAACTGGAGTAAAACTTTGTATCTTCTTTCTTTCAACACACCGGCTGTATCCCACCGAGGCGGGGTGGCTCAAAAGGAAAAATGAAAGCTTCTCCTTTTACACTTAGTAATATATACAGGAGAAGGGGTTACTACTCCCTTGCTCCCGGCATTTTAGCCTCCTCTTACAACATGTATGGCTTACGGAGGAAGAATTCTGTTCCACTTCCCCATGGAGGTAAGAGGAAATAAATAAGAACAAGAACTAGTAAGAAAATAGAAGAAACCCAGAGGGGTGTGTATATATGCATATGCTTGTACATGTATGTGTAGTGTGACCTATATGAGACAGAAAACTGGACACCAGCAATACTACCATCATGTAAAACAATTACAGACTTTCGTTTTACACTCACTTGGCAGAACGGTAGTACCTCCCTGGGCGGTTGCTGTCTACCAACCTGCTACCTGTATATCCGTGTATATTTGAGTCAAGACCCTAGCAGATAAAAATACCATGATTTTACTCCTGTAGACTTTTTTGTAACACAGTAGACTTTTAAATGCTCTTTAATTAATTGTTTTTGCAAGTTTAGAACTACAGAACCTTGTGTGGTCTTTCTGATGCTGTAAAAAATATGACTCTTCACTTAGCACAACAGTATATAATGTTGCTGCAACATTCAGTACTGCCTTTATGTACGCTAGGGCAATATTTATATGTGGCAACAAATTGTTAACAAATCAGCTGGTTTTTGTAAGATTTCATGGAAAAATTGAGCAGTGAGATGGTTTAATACACTACTTATGTAAAGTTAATTCAGTATATGATCATTAGATAGGGAATATTATGATCATTAGATACAGAATATATTGGTATAAACCGTGGTAATAAATACCAACAAATTGGTTTAGAATAACACATAAGCAAACACTAAGAAATATTTATTAGACAAAGTTTTGGTCCTGGGACCTCAATCACTTCTAACATACAGAGGCTGAAAGACAGTATACATAGGCGGAGAGTGAGGTGTGAGTGACGCATGGTGATCTCTGTGTGTTAGAAGTGATCAAGGTTTCAGGACCAAGATGTTTTCTATTAAATATGTCCTAGTGTTTGCTTACATGTTTTTGTAAACCAACAGAATAGTGTTAATGTTGGTAGAATTACCAACAATGTAGTAGTAATACAATATGGTAGAACAATCAACTTGCACATGAGTAAAAGGTTATCAAAGCTATTACTTGGGTAACAAAAATATTTGTCTAACCCATTTTTATGTTACCCAAGTAATAGCTTTTATAACCTTTTACTCATGTGCAAGTTGATTGTTCTACCATATTGTATTACTAATACTATTACAACTTATATTACTACTACCACTACCACAGTATTACACCTCACTGAGCCTATATATACCCTCTGTGTCTATGTATTGTTTGTAACAGCTTGATAAAGCACCTGGAGAGTGAAATGTTGCCACAACAAAATGTCACATTAGTTGCACTTGTGTCCTTTTACTTTACAACAGAATATATTAGAGATCAGTATTCATACAAAGAAAATTTGTTCGTTTGTTAGTATTGCAGTGTGGTGGGGTTGGCATGTTTGGTTCTGAGTGCATTACACATCCCCATCAACAGTAAACACTGGCCTGCCTACCACATAGTCATATAATCCTAATAAAGAATGCTGTACTATTATCTCTTCTATCATCAAAAGTAGTTGTTGAGATATTAGAGATAGAATAATAGCTCTTAATGTGGGTACCAGAGAAAGTGAATTTGATAGGCTGCTGGTATTGAAGTACTGTAAATAAAAGAGGCAATGAATGCAAGACAACAGAGTGAGGCAGCAATGTAATAAGTAGCAGATGGAGTTGCCAGATGCTCTTACCTGTTAGTAAAAACAGGACTTTCAACCCAAAGGATAAACACACGTGTAGAGCTAGTATCCAGATGGCCAGTGCATTAGAAAAGTATATTTTTTCACAACATTTAGTTTACATGTCATTTTTAATTGAAAATTCTTTAACCCTTTGACTGTCGCAACCCTAAATCCTGAAGTGTCTCCTGCCGTCGCAAAATATTTGAAAAAATAAAAAATTCTTATGACATGATAGAGTATCTTTTCCCGATGATAATGACACCAGAAGTACAAAATTTGATGGAAAACTTGTTAGCGACCTCAACAACATTTATGCATCGGCGATTTTGCCCACTTTGAGCCGTATTTTTGGCCAATTCCATTGTTCCAGTCCACTAAACTCATAGCTATTTCTTTAGAACTCCGTTTGTACAAGAAACTGCCCATTTACTGATTTAAACTACCCAATAAAGTGGTCAGAAATTGGCAATTGACCAATTTCATGCAAATTAAAAAATGTCAATTTCAAAATAAGGTCCAGAATGAACAGTGCAGACATTGTCACATCTCCAGGCCCCTGTTATAATACTCTTGCTTTCTATTTTGAATTTTTATTCACACAAAAAATAGAAGATTTACTGTTATGCAGACTACTGCAGTGTTGTAGTAATTGTATAAATAACGTCACCCAAAATCAGCAAAAATCAAACATTTCTGCCACTTTGAGCTCCATTTCAAGATTCTTTTCATAGTAAAACCAATCAAAATCACTTCTATTTCTATAATATGTTTTCCATTCTGTCAAATGAGACCAAGAAAACAAGAATAGTACAACCATAAATGCTATACGAAAATACACCTCAAAGTCGGCATTTCAATCCAAAAACACGGTGGGAGTTTTTTTTCCTCATGCACTGCTTGCTGCAGGATTTTTTTTATACTGCACACGCTGACCACACAAACCCATTCTCTCACATGTGGGCCTACCAGCTTTCTCCTGCTTGATTTGAAGCCGCTAGAATTTTTGAGTATATGTATACGTCAAACACATTGGCTCATAAGATGTATATATATGACTAAAACAGTCAAAGGGTTAAATGATTGCAGCATTTTCTTTAGTATAACAAATTCAATTTTTTTTTTTCAGATCAGAAAATTATTGTACAAACATCTCAAATAGGACAGATTGTCCTTAAATGTATACTTTTAGCAAGATGATAAAATTAACAAAAATTCTAGGCAAATAGACATTGGATATTAAATTGGAGTTAAGGAGTATTGAGGAAGTGAAAAATTCTGATATTTGGCAGTGGATATTCTGGCAAATGTATCTATGAAAAACAAGGTGAACCATTGAATAGATGAGGGAGAAAGAGGTAGGTATTGTGTTAATGTACCTTTGGAAAGAGAAGTAGTACCATTTTTATTTGGATGTGAGACATGGGCTTTAAATGTTGCAGCAAGGAGGAGGAGACTTTATACTTGAGAGATGTGAATGTTATGCAAAGAACTGGGAGTGAAGAAACTATAATTCGTTGTTGGGTTACCTAAGGTATAATTAAAAGAGATGAGGAAGGGTTGTTGAGGTGGCTCAGGCATTTAGAGAGAATGAAGCAAAATAGGATAGCGGAATAGATGCATAAAGCTAGGGTAAAAAGGAGGGGTAAGGGGCTATCCTAGGAAAGGAGTGCTAGGGGCTTTTGCATTCAGCAGGCTTATGTAAGCCTGAGTAAGTAGAGACAGGTGGTTTTTTATGGCTTGATGTGCTCTTTGAGTGTGAGTAATAACATTTATGGAGAGATTCAGAGAAATTGTTTAGCTGGACTTGAATACAGGAAGTGGGAAGTGCAGTTTTTTACTCTGAAGGATGGGTGGAGATGTTGCTGTTCAGAGGGTAATGTGAATTGTGATGACTGTTCAGTTTTGGCAGGGCAGCTATTGAAAAAATAATGGTGATTTTTTTTTTTTTTTTTTTTTTGGGGGGGTCACTTTATCAATCAATCAATCAAGTTTATTCTCTATAAGGATTACAATGCAGGGTTTACAGATTTTGGTTATTGTGTAGTTTACATGTAATAAAATACTAATTACAGAGGGGGGCCACTAGGACACCTAGCATGGCTAGGCATTTCGGGCAAACTTAGATTAATTCTTAACCCTAAATTATTACAAATTATGGAGTAAGTTGACTAAATACTAAGTGACTAAATACTAGTTTGTGAGTTTAGCAATGTGAATGCTTTTGTTTTGGCACAATATATAGTTTCTATATTAGAATATCACAGGCAAATTTATGACTAGTTAGAAATCATTATTTTGAGATTAAGATTCGTATTTCTGTGCTTGTAGTCAAATGGATGAGTGAGTGAGTGTAAGTGTGAACCACCAGGTGGTTTTTATGTAGTTAGTTGACGGGGTGTATCAGGGAGATAAGATGTTTTCCAACGGTAGTTTTGAAGGTGATGAATGTGTCTGCAATTCTAGAGTTTTCAGGTAAGGTGTTCCAGATTTTAGGGCCTTTGACATACAGTGGACCCCCAAGTTTCGTGATTGATCCGTTCCAGAGAGCCTGCTGAAAGTCGAAATTCACGAAACTCGAAACCATTTTCCCCATAAGAAATAATGGAAATAAAATTAATCCGTTCCAGACACCCAAAAATATTAAAATAATTTTTTTTTTTTCAAATTAAATAAAGATTTACATACTGAAAACAATGAGAAATCAAGTACATGCATATAAAAAATAATAACATTACTTACCTTTACTGAAGTCATCTGGGTGGATGGAAGACAGGAGGAGGGGATAGGAGGAAGGTGTACACTATTGTTTGGAAGGAGAATCTCCTTCCATTAGGACTTCAGGTATGAAGT